GGTTGTCTTTGATCTTTTCAAACTGCTTCCATAACTTTGGGCAAACTAGGTAACGAAAAGCTTGTTGTTAAGGCAACATTTCAGCCTATCAGAAGCACTCTACACTTTCTCTTTAGTTTGACATCAGATTGAAATTTGCTTACAGTAGAGCTTTCAAGATTCACTTGAAATCAAAGACTTTAAATCTGTCGAAAGTTACTTTTATAGCTGTGATTTTTTCCTTTCCCCCTCGGCCAGTCTGACAGAATCAATGTTCAGTTCTCTGCATCATGCAGTGGTTCAAAATCTTCTGATTGAAATTATTTGATTAGAATAACACAATAATTTCTTTAAAACAAGATCATATAAGATAAATTATATCCGGCTAAGCCAAAGCACACAGTAACCAGATACCAGTCAGACGGTGAGGGATTACCTGAGCACATCTCCTCACGTCCGGCTAATTCCTGCTTTTCACCAGAAAGAGAACTAAAACAGCTGCGCTCCACCTGTGCAAATCTCCCCGTGGAGCAAGTTGGTTCTTTACTGCTATTGACTGCTGTTTTGTCATTAAAACTGATCTGCACTAACATCTTAGAGAGCATAAAATCCATTTAGCATTATATCTTCCAGCAACCAGGGTTATTTCTGTCGGACTATAGGTTATAAAGGGATTACAGAGATAAGGCTGCACATGCAAATGCAATGAATGTTTTACTTTGACATAAATGTTTCATCTAGCATTTCAGGAACACGAAAAACATAAGTCACTTTGCGAACAGGCCTAATAAATCTTTAAGTTAGAATGGAATGGCAACCTATATGCAGTTTCAAGCATTTTTTGCGAATAATGATGGTAATGCTTTAAACCTTTGGGGTTTAAAACCTAAAGTCGATGTGAATAATCCAACTGACCAACACAAGTTGTTAAAAACCAATTTATTTGTTTTATAAAAACGTTTTTGACTTCACACTAACTTCTGGGTATTTAACATCGTACTTTAAGAAAAGTTCCTAAGCTTAGCAAAGCTTTAAAATAAATAGTTAAACTGAGTAAGTCTTAGGTGTCAGCTCAGTACTTAAAAGTGTTAAAGGAGTATAAAACCTTTCTAACAGCACACCTCCTGCAGAATTAATGTCAGACAGAGTTGTTTTTGAAAGAGGCTAAAATATGTATGTACATATTTACATCTGACCCTTTGGGAGCTGAGTGGTACTGCATGGACTGTTGAGAATGTTTTGCTGACATAGTTTGGTCAGCTTGCCTTATGAGGGCTCTTTTACACCAAGCAGAGATCAGCCGTCAAGCCCGTCTGTAGCACCTGTAAATGCTTTTCTCCCTTGTGTCCTTAATTTGTAATGCACCAATGGCATTGTCAGACTACGGTGCTGGTTCAGAATCGGGTCTGAACTCAGATGAGAGAATAGGTGTCAGTGATGACAAGAAGCCAGCAACCACATGAAAATAACACATGGAATCTTTTCTTATTTGCCTAAATTATTCAAAGTGATCAACTTTGAAAAACACAAAGCTCTTGAATATGATTTTATCATCTGTGTCATTTTCTTCCTGGCAAGCATTTGGGAGTTGCCTTTGCAGCGTGCTGTTTTTGTGTCTCCAGACGCTGACACTAAAACACACAATAGAGGCTTTTCACATTATGTGTAAGAGGCCTGAGAGAGCAGGGTCTCTGCATTTCTGGTGGGAGTGGTCTCTGCCAGCATGCCAAAGTGGCTTGAATGATTTATTTCAGTCTACATTTGCTAAAGGATTTTCTGTCACTCACCTTAAGAACTGATTATTCCACATAATCAAAAGTGTATGTATTCTTTAAAAAAAGAAAGGAAAGGACAGTTTTATACAATAAAAATATCAAATATAGCATAATATATAAGCAGCATGTAACAGGTGTTGTGTGTCACAAGCACTGGAGGCATCTTTACTAACCATGTAAAGAATAAGTGCTTTTTGTACACCCAACAATGGTCCTAATCCCTCTATAAAGCATCACTCCCACAATGCACACTGGGTCTTGACCCTTAGGGACTTTGGCTTTACTGGTTCTAGGAGATTGAGTTCACTCGTTCAGCTGTTGCTCCCAGTCCCTAAATCCTTTAATAGGAAAAAACTGACACGACTGTGGAACTGATTCTAACATCTCACATGCTCTAGCACTGATTGCACTTAAATGATTGAACCTGTTATTTGTCTGCAAACAAAACTCCTCAACAAAACACAGTTTCGGCATCTCAGTTCAGTTAAAACGTTAATGTACATGAATGAGGAGAGAGGTGACTAATTTAAAAAGGTCACTGAGTTATTTCTAAACGGCTTTTTAAATAAAGGAGGTGGCTGTGGTTCCCCAAAGAGTAGCTGAAGCGATTAGGTGACTTCATAGAGCAGAATTACATTTAAAACGTGACCTCTGAGGATGCTGCCAGCAGAGAAACAAAGAACTTGAGGGTTCTTGCTCTCATTCAGTCTCCACTGAGCAGAAGATAGGGAAGGTAAAGATTATTGGCTTGGCACTAAGTGGCCCCCAATCTGCTTTTTATTGACCCCGAGCATAGTTCCCACTGCACATAATCACTTTGAGTTTGCCTTATACTCCAAATGAATCTTGAGTCATCCATCTACATGACAGACTTAAGTTGGAAAATACAATTTCCATAATGAATAGTTGTAATATGTGATGAGAAAGATTTTTGTAAGATTTAGGCTATCGAACTGTTCAATTAACTAGCATTCTATCAACAATGCCAAAATAATTATAAAATGCTCATTAATACCAAATGGTTTTCATTATTTGTACAGAAAACAAAAGACAAGGTAGGCCAGTGAATAGGAACACAAATGTCTCTGACTGAGTGATCAAATGATCACTTTATTAAGTTAAGAGCAGAACAGACCTGCAGCCTCCACCATCTTGTGTTTTAGAGACAAAAACAGTGACATGGGAGGAGACATTGCAAGCGGACATTCATGGACCTGAAAGGCTCTTATAGATGTTAAAATCGGTTCAGAATGTTATTTTGCAACCCCGTACTTTATAACTCAAACCTTTTCAACTTCCCTGTGTATTCTTTCAATGGTAGAACACAGAAAATGTTCTGCTTCTTAGTGTCTTCATCAAAAGCAGATTCAATCAATGATTTAAAGATATTTTCATGTTAAAGGATTTTTTGAATATTTTTCTATCCTATTGATAGTTTGACCGATTCACAATACAAGCAAACAGTAACAGTTTTCTTTTGGCTTTTGCTCTTTGAATCTGTGTCTGTGTCTGTGATGGTCCATGTGTTGCATGGTCTGGCTATAATTGCAGGTCTTTGTCTGAGGTCAAATTGACTTAGTAGCCCACCAGCATCATTAACAAATGCATGGTTGCAGTTTGATGTTTATTACACAACATCTGTGCTGTTACTGCTGCAGCTGTATATTTTCTCCCTTTTTCTAATCTAAGGCTGTTTACAGCTTGGGCAGAATTGTGCATTAGCAAACAGAAAGGACCAATGAATGAGAGAAAAGGCAAAAGATGACTATAAAAGGGAGCTGCTATGCTTGCAGAAGGCCTGATGGCATTTTTAAATGTGTTTTGATTAGTTGGTCAACCTTACTTAGTTTTACGAGTTAGGACAAACGTGGGTAAAATGGCATCAAACACCCCAAACGTCTGCTGACTTTTTCTTTCGCCCACAGCCAGAGGACAAGTAATAACAGAAGGATATTTTCCCCTACAGTACACTAATGGGACATTTTGAGAAAAAGGGAAAGAACTGTCCACCATAGGGCATGCTGGAAGCCGCCTAAGTCCAGTAATCTTTGGTATTTTGTTTATATCCTTTGAGGTAACAAATGTAATGGTATTCGAATTTACACTGAACTGCCAGCCGTTTATTTGGTAACATGAGGAATCCGAAGTCACACCCTGGATTAACAGTCCTCTTTTGAAATGTTTGTGTATTTTCATTCATTATTTGTTCATTCTTTCAACTCTGAGCAAAGTCTTAGCAAAAACCTCTTATAAGAACATCAGTTCACATTATCTGATGGTAATAGGATGATCACCTATTGGGTTGTTACCAGACTCTGACTTTCTCATAAATGTCTGTGGCCAAATCAACATGTTGAACGTGTACATTGTCAATCAGCAAGACGTCGAGGATCAACATCATCAGTTAGCTACAGTAAACTCTGTCAGTGAATGGAGTTGAGCATGGAAAATACAGTTATTGTCAATTTTCTTCATGCTAAATGTGGTGGATTACACAGACACATTTAGCCACATTTGCTTTGGGAGCTGTGCGCCTTGTAATCAAAACAGATTTATGCCAACTGAATTAGTTCACGATAGTTATTCCACAAAAATAAACTGTATCCTAAAGATAAAAAGAAATTGGTCATCCATTGACCTTTCCTACTTCCCCGCTATCGGTTTGACATTTTATGCTTATTTAGTGATAAAATTGTGTTTCATGCACAGCCAAGCACTGGGGTTTGGGCTCTGTACAACAAATTATTCCCCTCTGCTATTTTCAGTTTTCAGTGACTGCTATATACGTTTATTGATGAACTTTGTGTTAGGAAGCTTAAAAAATATTTTCCTTTCACAAAGGGCTTGGATAATTTCACAACAATGGAAATGCCAGTTTAAGAAAGCATTGTAAGGGCAGTGAGAATGAGCCTTTTGATTTACTAAGGGGGCATTGATATTTAATGTTTATTTGTTGATACATGTATTTTCATTTACCTTTTTTTAAAGTTTAACCATTTAAAGCACCTACTTTTCCTGGTTGTAGACCAACCATATAGTGATGGTCCTTCTAGAAGATTACACACTGAATATACCCCTCAAACTGGCCTGGTGGAAAGATAAGATGCGTTAGATTTGTTTACAGTATCTAAAATGACTGAAATAAACCCTATAGAGGTTGTTACTACAGCTGTAGACTGTTTATGACCTGAGTATGTTTTAATGAGACAGGTATGATAACTCCCCTTGTTTCCTTTATATTCATAGAAATATCATCACTACATGGCGGGACTGCTTGCCCCACCCTATGGTGTGATGGACAGCAATTGTGGCTCCGACAGTAAGTAACCCTGAAGATGTTTCTATCTGAAAAATCTGTTCAGTTATCTTTTGCCTTTTGATAAATCCTTCACACAGACTTTTTTTTTAAATTCAAATAACTCATCAAACTTAATAAATGTTAATGAAAGTTTAGAAAATTCAACCCTTCATTAGGAGAATATCTGACAGAAACTACACTCCTAGACTAAGTTTCAGAGATGGACTGACTTGTGATTAAAGTTTAACATTGCATACAGCCATGCAGTCATATTTTTGCCTGGTTAATTCAATGCAGCCTTTTGCAACCCATATTCCTCTTACTTTGTTATAAATGCTGATACTGTTATTCTGGCTTTTTTGTTGTAATTTAACTCAATATTGACTTTGCTTTGCTCAACCAGAGCACCATTGTAACTTGGATCAAAGTCATGCATCATAAAAATGATGAAGAGCAGTGAGCCGAGAGAAAATCCAGAGTCCCTTGTTTTATTGTCCGCTGAGTTTCGGAATATTGCTTTGCCTTTTCAGGGTTTTTTCATGAATGACTGGCACATTTGAAAGAGAAGAGCTCACGCCTTCAAACACACACACATATCTTTAAGTTAAAGCTTAATAACCACATTTTAAAAATCTCTTTTAAAAACTGCTTTCATGTTCATTTTGCTTTGGAACAGCGAGAACTGAGGGTTTTTTAAACAACCCATGTAGCCTATCATTTTTCAGATTTATCAAGGATTCATCGTGACAAAAGTTTCACATAAATCAGCAGCAAGATGCACTCTAATCCACTGAGTATTCACAACATCTCAGTGGGGTTGTAAGAGTAGTGGTCAAATGAATTAAACATGTTTTTAACTGTTAGAGCACTGCACTTTGATGTTAACAGGTAGGTGCTTTTAAAGGGATGTTTGTCCCCTCAACTTCAGAACTCAGACTCACTTGAATGCCTTAATTAATTTATAAATAAACAGTAATCCAGCTTGGATTCATCTCCCACATTCGTACAGTATGCTGATGATGTGATTTGGCTGTTGTGACACTTTGACAGGGGTGATGTGCCACATGAACTGGTGCTACAGCTTAAAAATAAGATGATGGACAGCTGAGTTAACTTCTTCAAACAGCCACACACGTTCCGTACTCCTGTGCGGACTCAACATATGACTAGAACTTCATTCTAAAAAATGAGGAGACATTGGCAGATGCCAAAATGATTCTTTTCTTTAATGTGAAAATGAAATCTACTGTCAGAAATCCTCTTTTTTTGTTCTTGTGAAACCAGAGTCTTCTTTCCAATAGAATAAAAAGCAGCTCTGCAGGCTAAATAGCTTGAAGTGTATTGCATGATCAGTCAATTAATGTGTATCCAGTATCATGGGCACCATATTAGTTTTTACTTACTGAAGCTTCTCGATAGTTTTTTTATTTAATCATATTGTGTCCATTTTAAAAACAAACAGGAAACATTATGCGTTTATTACAGACTGTGTGTGAGGCAGGTGATAGAAACTGTTGTTGGTGATCTAAATGCTGCCATCTGTTTAACAATGTATGAGCATAGAGAGAAAAACCTATCATATCAAATGCAGACTTCAAATTATCCTTGTAATTCACAGTTTATTTTGAATTAGAGCCATGCACATACACGTACAGTACGTGTGGATTGTGGATCTGTCATGTTGAAGATTAGCTGAGTTTCCCCTGCAGACATAATTGTGACTGAGCAGCCTTGACTGATAATACTGTTTGCAGTGAAGAAGAAAAAAGACTTTAAGCTCATGAGACAGATCAGTAACCCCACTCTCTCTATTTATGACGCTCTGTCGTAAATAATGATGATGCTGGTTAAAGTAAATTATGAGATTCCTGAAGGGAGAAATCTGAGGGAGGGAGGAAGAAATGAAGGTGATTGTTGGCTAGTGGGGACAAATGAGAAGCAGGAAAGATGTAATGTGTAATTATGTGAGTACTTCAATGAAAAGTTAAAAGGCAATAAGTAATACATAAAAAGTACATAAAGGTCAGATTATAAAACAGTTAACTTGGCTCTTTTATGTAGTATTTAGCTCTGTATCCAGAGACACACAAAGATAAGAAACTGAGAGTGGACACAGTGATCACCGGCAGGTGGGGAAAACTCAGCCAGAGCCACCGCCTACGATGGAATTAATTAAAAGGAGTGCAAGCTCACAGTTAAACATTCAAACCAGTTATATCTGATCTAGAAAACTTAGAAGAAGCTGATGTTTCAGGACTATCTATTTTTCAGTCACAACAACCTCTCCAGGAATTTTTAAGGAATGCAAACAAAACATGCGGGACACAATGTTCCATACAAAACTCTCCCAGTTCGAATGACTTAAAAATGTGTTAGCTGAAAATAATAATATCATATCAGACTGTTTGGAAATTGTAAAAGCAGTTGAGATGCACGGCAGGAGCCCAGTAAGGTTGACAGGAATTGTTTGTTTGCTTTTTTCTATGTGGCTGAATTCTTAATGCTTTCTATGTTTTCTGTTTTACAGACCGTATCGTATCTCTGTATAGCATGAATTCTAACATATCCTTCCCATTTTCCACTAGGAATGTCAGAGAAAGAAAACATAAGGAAAAACTCATTTGTTTCCGTCTCCAAACATCCAAATAAGGTACTTCCTACAAAGCATGTCGCCACATAAACTATAGTTTGCATTGAAAGCGAGAGGGGCTAAGAGTCAGAGATGATACATGGTTGTGCTAGTTCCTGTCTTTGATAGAACGGATCAATTCTTCAAGATTTGTCTGTTTTTACATAACACCCTTACAGCCTTCTTTTTTGACCACTTATCCTTGAGTGGATGGGAATAAGCACATAATGGGGAGTTTGTTTAAATGTAGCCTTAATATAAACAAGGTGACTGGAATTCTGGTCCACAACAGTTCCTGTCCCACCTTTCTCCTGCAGTTGTTTCCTGGTTGATAACGTGGCACTGCAACAGATTTATGATGCCTTGTGCCTTGTTCCAACATGATGTTTTGTCACAAAGCTATTGCTCTGTTATGTAAAAAAGCTTAATCTTAAATTGCTTTTCCATTGTGTAACAAACAAACACAGCTTTAGTTTGATTTAACATGTATAAATGATAGCTTTAAAAGCCCTACTCCTCTGTTGATTGAGCAGACTCGTTTCTTGTAAATAAAAGATGAGGCTTTAAAGCCTTCACAAAACTGCATGAGTTGTTTTCTGAGGGATGCAGAATGCATTTTAAATGTCAATGTCCTGCAGCTCGTCCCACGGCCTCAGTGAGAGGGAAAATGCATTTAAACTGAAGGCCGTTATTTCTACAGTTCTCAATTTAAAGCAAGTGAATGCTTTAGTCAAGACTGAAAAATATAGGAAGACCAAGACATATAGGAAGTAATAGATTGATTAAAAGTGAAGGCTAATAAACACACAATGTCAGCATTGAGGATGACATCCTGTGACTCACTGTGAGAGGAAAAGCACCCATTATCCAGCTGGATTTGTCAGACACATCGTCATTCCCACACTGTGTTTTATTGCCAATTACTAGACCATTGTATCCAACAACAGACTGACAGTTATATGCAGTTTCCTCTGAAAGTGGAATTTAATTTCATCAGAATGGCCTGAGTTTGATTGCTAACCGTGGCAGATTTGATTTCCCTCTTTTTTTTGTTTCATTCTATTTTGCAGAAGCCTTTCATTGAAAGCCCAGCCCAACCCCACCCTTTATGCATGTCTCAGGTAGTAACCACCATCACTTTATGTGTGTGGGGGCTCATGTGGCATATAGGACTCCATTGTGGTATGACTTCATTTATTCCACTGGCAGGTGCCCTCTGAGAAGATCCTCCGCGCGGGGAAGATCCTCCGTAATGCCATCCTCTCCAGGGCGCCCCACATGATCCGAGACAGGAAATACCATCTGAAGACATACAGGTGCTTAGATATCTGTGTAAGAGTGTGTTCAAAGTGACTTTCAAATGTCAAACAATGTAAAGGGCAAAACAAGATAAGACTTAAAACTGAAAAAAGGAAAAATGTGAGACCAGAGAGATTTGTACTTTGAGGGACAACAGCACGCATTTACCTCACAAACACCAGATTAAAGGAGCATACATGCGTATATTTATGTCGAAAATTAATTAATTAGCTTGTGATGTAAACATCCTGTTGTACTGCTCCAAAGAGTTCCCTTCCCTCTGGAATGAACCTGAAGTTAAACATGAACTATATAGAAGCTGAACACAAAAACTGATTTTTGATAAACCTATGTAGACTGTTAAAACGAATTGGAAAAAAAACACAGAGCTAAAATTGAGCTAAAGTCAGGTATTAAATACAATCCTTTGACTGAAATACTGATGAGACCTATGTGTGTGTGGGTTTCAGGCAGTGTTGTGTGGGTACTGAATTGGTTGACTGGCAAATGCAGCAGAGTTCATGCGTCCACTCCCGCATTCAAGCTGTGGGCATGTGGCAGGTGCTGCTGGAGGAAGGAGTACTCAACCATGGTAAGACTCAGATGTTTGGACAAATGTACCTGTGGGAGAATCCCCAGATTTAACATTCAAGCCCTGCTGCCTCTGCCATGTTGTTGTGACGCAGTGGACCGGGAGACGAGCTTCCAGGACAAGTACCTCTTTTACCGCTTCCTGGATGACGAGCAGGAGGATGCTCCTGCACCAAGTGAGGAGGAGAGGAGGGAGAGCCAAGAAGAGCTGCAGGACACGCTGCTCCTCCTTTCGCAGATTGGACCAGATGCACATATGAGGATGATTCTGAGGAAATCGTACGTCTCTAAAGAAGCTCTCTGGAAAACCAAACTGAATCAGTGTGATTGTGTTATGGTATACTTTGCTTACATGCTTCCTGCCTTGCAGTCAATCTGAGAGAACAGCAGATGATTTGGAGATAATTTATGAGGAGCTGCTCCATATAAAGGCCTTATCGCACCTATCCACCACTGTGAGTTTGGTTTCTGTCTTTTGTGGCCACCGCACAAACACAGGCTAGCGGGCCTCCGGCTCTTATCAGTAGAACTTGTTGCCAGGTGATGGGGTTATAAGCAAACTATTTGTCTCTGTCTAAATATACCCAACTGAGGATACATCTCTCCTTTTTGTCATTGTATGGGGATTTACTCTTGTCAAAACTTCCTGGGTAATAACTTTGTCCTGCCTGCACAGGTAAAGAGGGAACTGGCTGGAGTCCTCGTTTTTGAGTCCCATGCAAAAGCAGGAACAGTGTGTAAGTGATCTGACCTAATGTGGGACTTCTGACCGCTTATTGTGACTACCTGATGATAATTAAATCTAGGTTATGATAAAAGCAGCTCATTACTAATGGAACAGTAATCTCTCAAATCCCAGATGAGGTGACATCAGACCACCAACACTTTTCTTTGTCTCTTTTGTTCCACAGTGTTCAACCAAGGGGAAGAGGGCACATCGTGGTACATTATTTTAAAAGGCTCGGTCAATGTGGTCATCTATGGAAAAGTGAGTCTTTCCACAGGCACTCTGAAAGCAAAAAGCTTATGTTTCCCTGACCGGGGCTCTGATTGAATGGATCAGAGAGTGACCAGAGCGCTGTCCTGTTTAGGGTGTTGTCTGCACACTTCATGAGGGAGATGACTTTGGGAAGCTGGCTCTTGTCAATGACGCCCCCCGAGCCGCCTCCATTATCCTGCGAGAGGACAACTGTCATTTCCTGAGAGTAGACAAAGAGGACTTCAACAGGATTTTAAGGGTGAGTTTCAAGTAAATGACACTTTCTTTGTGACAACAGAAAGTCCCTACTGCCCTCTGTTGGCGCAGGCACAGTAGTGCAACCGACTGTGTTACTGCACCAGCTTTGTGCACCCCTTAGCTGTATCTATCCTAAAATGTTGTTTTTAACTCAAGCTATGCTTCACTTTGACATTTAAACATCACAGACGTTAGAAAAAGATTTGCCTTGAAATTGACTTAAAATGTGATTTTAATTTATTTGTGTTGTTTTGAAAAATGTCCCCTTTGCATGTGCTTGTCAGACTTGTCAGTAATTCCTGCATAATTATAACATATTCCAACCTTCATATTAAATCAGAATAATACGGTAAATTGAATAATTTTGGAATGGACTGTTTCAATTTCATGCCTTCTTCTTTCATTTGGTTGTGTAGACCTTTGTTTTTTCATGATGAAAACATTGCACACACTATTTAGAAAATGGTTTAGCTATCCGTTCATGACCATTTCACACAAAGTCTGTTTGAAAGTCTTCACATGTCTCACTGATTTAGACTTAACTTCACAGGTCACCTTTCCTTTGAATATGTTTATGTATTCATTGTGTGTATTGCTGTGAATGTGTAAAGGACGTGGAGGCCAACACTGTGCGTCTGAAGGAGCATGGTCAAGACGTTCTGGTTTTGGAGAAGAGTCTCAGCAGCAGTCGAACCTCTGACCCCGGATCATCTGCATCTCATTACAAGTAAATGTTGCTTCCGCCTGAAATGCTTGTATATTGTGCACAAGGTCTTTGAAGTTTTTTATGAATGCGATAGCTAAAAATAGTTAAATGCTTTGCTAATTATAGGCAAAAAGAAAACACCTCAAAAACTAAAGAACCCCAACCCTCCTTCGTGTATTTTGCTATCAGGCGTACGGCTATCTCTTTGCATCTCTCATAAACTGAGTGATGATGTGGTGCTCACTACCAAGCTCATTAATTTTCATTGAGTATAAAAACTTCCAAAAGAAGTTCACTGACATTTAGTTTGATTTTTATTAGGCAGAACATCTTTTAACCCTCAATATGTTTTCCCCTTTTAATCAGACATGCCACTTTGTGGAAAAGTCCAAAGCATCTGTGTAGTCTTCAGGAAATCTTCACCAGGATTATTAAAAGAGATTTCAAAGCTCATCTGTTAATGTTGGATGTCTTCTGTTTTTAAGTACTGCTGAAATACCCTCTTTGGATATCAGTTTGTTGAGTTACATTATTTTTTGTGCTTTATAGATCAGTCATTCATAGTGTTTGTAGTGTAACAGTCTTACAATACAATAACTGGACTAAAAACACACCCAATGTTCAAAGAAAAACTCAGGCCCGGAGAGCTATTGCTTCAGATTACATGATAAAAAATTAAAAACAAATCTGACTGCTTGGAAGACACATAGAAATAACTGAGCTGTGTTAGAAAAACAAGAAGATTAAACGAATGTCTGGTGGATCCTTGGCCACAGGGTCTCTTTGTAATAATACTCATCACTTCATTTTTTTGTTTTTTTATGTGGTGTCCAGACAGAGAGAAACACGCTTGCTGAACAAACCCCAGCTTTTATCTGGAAAACAGTTTCTATTGGACTCTTTCAGTCAGTCTGAGCAGCAAATGAAAACAGCAGTCCCGCGCTCCTCAGCTGACAGCTTCAGCTGACGCTATCTTAATAGAGGCATCTGTCACTGCGCCACAGTGGCTGTAATACTGAGAGACATATAAATGGTAATGATGGCCTAACTCCTAAGGGGAAAAAGGAGGCCTGGCACAATTACTTGCTCAGGGTCGCCCTCTAATCAACTCTACTCTCCACGTACAAGAGTGTCAAGGCTGTGCTCTGGCCCATGTGATGGGAAAGCTCAGCCCTCCTTGTGTAGCTCCCTCTTGCCGTGCTGTAATCAAGTAAAGAAAACAACCGAGACTGGATCAGGTGGATTCTCCTTCAGAGAGAAGATGGCTCTGCGTTTCAGTTTTCATTGGCTTCGATCCTGGCACTGATCCCAGACTCCCCTTCATCTTCAGCGAGCTGAGAACACTGATTGTAAATAGGATCGTTATCGAATAAAGCAATCATAGACGCACGGTGAAGTAACACAAATCAGTCGAGGGCCATTAAGCATTAACAGGCAGCCTTTCTTGATTAGTGAAGGGGGGTGCTGTGTTCTGTGTTGCTTCAGATACAAGGTGATGTCTGGGACCCCAGAGAAGATTTTGGAGCACCTTCTAGAAAAGATGCGATTGGATTCCCAGTTCACAGAGTCAGGTACTTATCACCATGCCACAACCTGAATGTCAGAATAGTAACATTTTAACGCTGTGTGTTATTTACCTTGAAGGGTTTTCACCTGTAGAGAGTATTTATTTTCTCCTCCACTAACTGTGTCCTGTGCTGACCCGTTTGCTCTCATCTATTATTAGTCACAAAACTGATCTAATTACTCTCCTGTGTGGATACATATGGTTTTCATTTGCCCGCAGAGGTGACAGAGGAAGGGCCATATGCTCTAACGTCTCTTTGATGTGCCCTTGTGCTGGGGACTTATGTCTTTAACTGGAGATTCTCTCTTATTTGCCACAGACTCAGCCTTAGATGACTTTGTCCTCATGCACTGTGTCTTCATGCCAAACAGCGAACTGTGTCCAGTGTTGAGAGCCCAGTATCCTTTAGCTATACAGCTGACCTAAAAAAAGCAAAGCTGACTTGTTTGGCTGGAAGTAAGTTGCTCTGATCTTTAACTGCCTGTGCAGCTACCATGCCCAGGCCTCACAGGGCTCTGAGCAGGAGAAGCTGGACTACACACTGAACAACAAGCGCAGGGTGATCCGCCTGCTCTGTCACTGGGCTGCTGTGCACGGAGAGCACCTGGAGCAGGGGGACGTGTGCTTCCTGGAGGTCAGTGTGATGCTGTGGTCTGCTGTGTTGCTACAGCAGTAATGCTCTGCATTTACAACAGCCAAGTGCTTAAGCTGTCTTGTCCTTAATAAAAGCTACCTCATAGATATTCTCAAATCTGGGATTTATACTACTTAAATACTGTTAAATCAATTGGCAAAGATTACTGCTATCTGTTCCGTCCATATGAATATTGCTTATTTTGTTCTTTAGCTTAACATAAATACGTTTTGCAGGAGTTTCTCATGGCAGTATCTAATGATGCAAAAGTGTTGCCAGCTCTCAGGGATCAACTGACAGAGCTGGAGAAGATTGTGAAGCGCAAGTAAGTTAAGCATTATGTGCTGTAGAATACAAAGATGAAAACAGGCCCTTACCTCTGCTGTCTGTTGTGACATTTGCACTCTTCGTTATTTGCAAACTGAATCGGTTCCATTAAAGCTTATATTTCCAATTATTGTTATAGTGTTGAAGATGCCCTGTCCTCACAGAAAAAGGTACAAAACAAACTTTTACTTTAAAATAAAAGGTTTGCTACATTTTGTTTTGTTTTAAGTGTCCATACTTGTTAATAGGAACTTGTTCAATTCTGTAACAGCACAAAGTCCTATTGCGGCAGTTCAGTGCGGGAGAAGAGAAGCTTCAGAAACGTCAGCCTATCAAGAGTAATGATGAAAGTGAGTATTGGATGGCATTTTATACACTGTAAACAGTTTGGTGCTTGATTTTTCTATATCATTTTTATTTACTCTGATTCATATCTCCAGTTCTGCTAAAAGTCTACTGGTGCGACCACACCTACACCACGATCCGGGTCTCCGTGTCCGCCTCGGTCAGGGAGGTCATCAGTGCTGTTGCTGACAAGCTGGGGTCAGCGGAGGACCTGATCCTGGTCAACCTCAGTTCAGCGGGAGGTGAGAATGGCAGCAGCTACGTGTTAATCAAATGATCGGAGACGACAAAAAAGGGAGCGCACATGCAGGCTGGCGGGGTGATTTATAAGGCCGGTGGTCTTCAGCAGTCAGCTTACTGACAGTGACGGCAGCTCCAGTAGGTGCTAAAGAATGAATCCTAAAGTAGCACAAGAAAAAGCCTGAGTGAATCGTTTATCATCCTGTTCAGCATGAAGCTGATGAAGCTCATAGTCATCCTCACTGTAGTGAAAACAGTCTCTCAGCTTTACAAACCTGACCTGAACTTTCCTGCCCGACGACAAACACAACAGGAACTGCTGTCTTATGCAGAGCTGCGTACTACACAGCTAATTTCTCACCAGTGACCGCTCAGATTTCTTACAGCTGCTCCACTTCATGAAACATCTGCTCTGCACTACATAAAACAACAGTTTTCTGTAATGTCACAGTATGGACGCGGAAATTTGATTGCAATGTTTTATATGAAAGGGAGACCCAAGACTGTAACCATGCATTCATAAATGCAAACCAAGAACTCACACATGCAAAAAAAAGCATTTTGTAAAAATAATTCTGATAAAAGGATATTGCACCATTCTACTGGATAGCAAATATTATGCTACAATGTTGACAAAAGGCATAAATCCTGTTTTATATCCTAGCATCATATTTGTGGTAATTCCATGCAAATGGGGCTCACAGATCTAAAATACAGAACACAGGCAAAAATCAAATGTGGGATTATCTGGACAATTTTTTATACCTAATGGTTTGAAATGTGACATAAAAAGCACATGATTTTCCACACATACAGTACAAGATTAATATGTTATTGGTGTGACAGTAATAAGAAAAACTGTGAACTATTTTTATTCTTATAGAGAAGTGCATCTTTAAGCCAAATGATGTCTCAGTCTTCTCTACACTCAGTGTAAATGGGCGACTGTTTGTGTCCAGGAGGGACCAGCTGGATTCACTGGTTTGTTCAACTTTCACAGAAAGCACACTGTGCCTCAAACATTTTCATTATACATAGACATACAGTAGGTTCTGTATTTCATGGTTTTTTTCCTGGTTTTCTAGACCCCTTTGCCTGAGCAGGAGGGCCCCACCACGGGCTCACTGGCCAGCTTTGAACTGATGAGCTCCAAAGATGTGGCTTACCACATGACTTCCTACGACTGGGAACTTTTCAACTGCGTACACGAGGTATTATGGAGTGACTAGACGCTATGAGTCAAACTGGTAATCTGTAGTATGTCCCCAGTAAGGTTAGCAAATTGATGTTTCCTTGGTGGATTTCTTTTTTATGCTGACATATTATTCTATTGCAATATTTATGGTGTTTTTCCTTTAATTTCTTAAAGCTTGAACTCATCTACCACACATTTGGACGGCAATACGTCAAGAAAACCACTGTGAATTTGGACCTGTTTCTTCGGAGGTTTAATGAAATTCAGTTTTGGGTGATCACAGAGATGTGTCTGTGTTCTCAGCTCAGCAAGCGAGTCCAGCTTCTCAAGAAGTTTATTAAGATTGCTGCACAGTAAGGAGATTTCTTTTTTAAAATGGGTTTCCTCTGACTAACTGTTGGTTTTGAAGTATCTTTATGTAAACAAATGAGCCTTTCCTGATTTATGTTGAAGCTGTAAAGAGTACAGGAACCTGAATGGCTTCTTGTCTATCATTATGGGACTGAGTAACCCGGCAGTGAGCAGACTCAGTCAAACCTGGGAGGTGGGTGTCTGTACGCACGATCTGTTGTTGTCGTAATCTATCTTTACTGCAGGTCAACCACCTTTTCCATTTGCATTCACAGAAACTTCCCAGCAAATTTAAGAAGTTCTACGTGGAATTTGAAAACTTGATGGTAAATTAATTTTGTATCCTGAATGTTTTATATCAGAGCCTCTCCCTGTTGAAGTATTTTTTTTTATTTCGACTATATACTGAAGTCAGCAGTGTTTAGTTCTGCCCTCAGTCAGGGCTGTGATAGATCTGTTTGACATGGTGATGGCAAATTGCAGAACAGTGCAACTTTTTCCACAGGATCCATCCAGAAACCACCGGGCGTACCGACTGACAGTCGCCAAACTGGAGCCTCCCATCATTCCTTTCATGCCCTTGCTCATCAAAGGTCAGTTTACTGGTTTGATGACTGTTCATTTTATGATGTGACATCATTTTGGGCCTCTGCTCCCTGACTGTTTTGGTGTTCCTTCCATAGCCTTAACTCTCCACAATTGGTCTCCTCTTTTCTTTGTTTCCACCAGACATGACATTCACACACGAGGGCAACAAAACATTTATCGACAATTTGGTCAATTTTGAGAAAATGGTGAGGCTCTGCAGGTGCAGATCATTGTCTACCAGTTTGTGTAAATCGTTTTTTTAGTTTCCAAATAATTGCCGATGCTTGTGGCTGATGACAGCTCTCTGTCTTGCAGCGGATGATAGCTAACACAGTGAAGATAGTGCGATACTGCAGGAGTCAGACATTCAGTAAGTTCCACAATGATGAGAAGTAGAATCTGTAGGCATGTCATTTTATGGAGATATCTGTATGGATTTTTCTCAGAGAATAGATTGAACATAGTTTGATAGTTTGCGAATTATTTGTGAAACATCCCATCCTTTCTGCCCAATAAGATCCAGATTCACCACTGGCTAGCAAGCACCATCCGGACGTGTGGACTTACGTCCGCCAGCTCAACGTGATCGACAACCAAAGGACGCTAACTCAGCTCTCTCATGGGCTCGAGCCCCGCAGGTCTTGAAACCACTCAGGGACAGAAATGTCATCTACTGATGCTGCTTCACCACACGACGTGCTCACATTGGTATGAGTTTCCTCCAATACAGGCAATCACATGGGGAACCTAATGAGGTTTCAGATAATGAGATATTGTTTCAGAAGCCGTTGGCTGACTTGTTAAGTCTTTTATTACAGTAATTTGTGATTTCTCAACAACAGTAATTGTTGTAGGATGAAGTACCTCTCATGTTGATGCCATGCAGATATCATATCATAACAACTGAAGAAATAAAGGACGTGTGTGGGCGTAGATCTAATTAACTACTGTGGAAAATTTCAGATGTAAACAATATGTGATGCTTTAAGAAAACACGGTGTTATTATTCTTGATATTCGGTTGTTTTGTATTTCTTTTTTATCAAACAATATTTATACATGTTTAGGTCTATACAATTCTTTTGTGTTGTAAATTGTATACAGATATTTATTTTGACTTTAGCATGCAGACGATTGGGATGGCCTGACTTTGGATTTATGTGTGCACATTTTCCTTTAAAAGCCTGGAATATAAATGTCTGAAAAGCTTTTTGTGTGCTGTAAATATTAAATGTTTTATATGGATTTAAGTGCTCTAATGCCATCATTGTTGTTTTTTCAAATTATTTAAGATGTTGTCTGCAGTCACGATTGTTAACATTTTTTCATAGTGTTTAAATAACTTACTTCTTATGAAGCTGAGTTGTTTTAAGTATTTTTCTAAACATCTCAGGCTGTTTTATAGTTTTATAAATTTGTTTTATAATTCTCTGAGTTACAAATGCACCAAAGAGAAGTGCTGGGTTCATTCAGATTTCCAGAGAACATATCAAATCATATATTTTTAGCTATATAACTTTATCATTTGTATTCTCTCTTTTCTAAACTTCATTTCAAAAAGAAAGGAAAAAAATGTTAGTGTGTAAAAATGCATCCACATGAACTGATATACGATATTGGATGTAACAGGAACCATCAATGACCAACAAACAGTCAATATTGAGTGAAGCAGAGGGGCAAGAATTAACAAGTAGGAGGTTATATGAATGACATATCCAACACAAAGTATGAAAAGGTTTATTTGAAAAAAAGGATAAAATGTAAAAAAACAAAACAAAACGGAACAATGACCAGCAGTACCACGTGGGCATCGCTGCTGACCTCTGAGCGTCTTCGGGTAGTTCCTATTTCCTCCAGCAGGGGGAGCCGTTGCCATCAGTTTGGTGAGCGGACTGAGGGCTGCTCTGTTCCCGGCCGTTCTCCAAAGTTGTACAACCGGTAAAACCACGGCGGTGACAGTGGGCAAACGAGAAATCAAACGACGTCACATGTGCTTTTCCGGAACCGCAGTGACTTTCTGAAAGTTTGCCCACCAGCGGCAACGAGGTGCAGCCCCGAGGACCGAACCCGCGCACTGCCCGTCCGCCGGTAGGTATCCCGGAACTGCCGAGACAGGGTGGAAAAGTTGGACATGTTTTCACATCCTCGTTGTTTTCATGGCACCGTGCGGCTGAACGCAGCGTACAGTGAGCTGAATTGCTGTCTTTTCGGGCGTGTGTTGGTCACAATGCCCAGTACAGGCGACACAGCTGAGCTTGGCGAATACTGTATAGTTGTAAACGTGTACTTAACACACATTTGCTGGCTACTACTTTGTGTTTAAATGTTTTTTTCTGATGATAAAAGTATACGTTTTGGTGTTTCCAGTGCACTCTACCTTGGACATGTCATAATACTGTGTGGAGTTTGCCTTGTAGGTGATGCGCTTCTCATTAGTTTGTGATTATAATAGCAAAACCTGAGGTTTGACATCCGGCTGTCAGGGCTTTGTGGGGCTCTGTGTTTGCGATGAGGTGAGAGGCTTGGAGAAATGACTTTAGGAGAGCTACAATATCCCAGTAACCCTGGATTCTCGAGTGGTCAGGCAATACTGAGGTGATGGGCTGGCTACTGAGCAAATTGCTTTGAAGCTAAGTATAGCATGAATACAAGTAAATCAGCAGAAAGCAGTGCCCCCCCTCTGTGACAATGGAGGCATTTCCCACTGTGATGGATAGTAATCCCAATGAAGACCAAGGTAACAGCCTTTTAAAAGCCATAATTGCTCAGCTGTAAATGGGAAACCCAGGAACAATAACAGAGCTACAATTTCCTGTAATGATGGAATTATTTTTTTTTACTAGATGCTTTTATGTTGTTACAGACAAACAAGGGCTGTGATAATCAGTCTGGGTGGACTCCACTTTGGCAGCTCTCAGTTTTGGCTGCTTACACGCCTAACATGTTTGGCCTCAACATGAACAGGAAGCGCTCCTTTTTTAGCTGAAAAGATAAAGAGAATATGAGGATCCCTCCACGCTTTTGTATCTAAACAGAGACAGTTTATTATGACAATGTTTTATACCCTCCCTGCTTGTGGCCTTACTTGTGCCAAACCCAGCAGAGCCTGCTGGGATAGTCTGACTGCTCCTGCATTATTCCAACATACCAGGCATGCCAGCATCCAGAGGCCAAGCTCCAAGCTTGTCACTCCGTGATATTGATCAGTGCTATGAGTGGAAAATGAGGAAGATGCAGATGCATTGACACCACATGCAGAAATTCCACTGGGTATTTCATTGAAACAATAGTTTGGATTTTTTCCACAGTGAATCAGACTTTCCCCTTGTCCTGTGACCCTCCTCTTGTTTAGAAGCTGCATCGGAGTCGAGTGTCATTATGAGATGTTGCCTCCCAGCTCGTCTTTCGTACAGATCAAGTTCGATGACATCGTCTTCCACGAGAACTGTGGCGGCGGCAGCTTTGGAAGCGTGTACCGAGCCAGGTGGATATCCCAGGACAAAGAGGTGGCAGTGAAAAAATTGCTCAAGATTGAAAATGAGGTAGGAGTCATAATTACCCTGGCTTTTCTTGTGCTTTTTAATTGTTAGTGAAGTAATCATTTTAATTACTGCCCCATTTAGCTGGATATAGTGACTTCTCTACCCATCACTCATGGTCATTATACTCCCCCACTCGGAGAAGTATGCTGCTAAAGAAACATTGTCAAATGAAAGAATGTATTTGGCCCAATTACGCTAGCGACTCCTCTCGAAAACCATTTGAAAGCACATACTCATTGTCTTAAAGACAAAAAAGAATTATCTTTGAAATCTTTTCAAGGAAATTGCAAGACATTTGTTGGCCTTTAGACGTTTCCTAAATTATTCATTGTTGCTTTTATGAATTTTTGGAAAATCTCAGATATCCATTCAACTTCACTCAAGTGTTTGAGAGATGATTGTTCGGTGAAAATGATAATGTAATCCTTTCACATGGAATCACTTGTTCCTTTAATTATAGTGTTTGGTTACAATTAAATGAACTCACTTTGTCAGGTCTCTGTTTCATTCAAGAAATGACTTCATATAAAGCCCTCTGGAGAAAAAAAGATAGATTACATAGATATTGAGTTCAACATCTCTCAGAATTATTCCACTGTTTTATTAAAGGTCACATGCAGCATCCTTTCTAAATTTCTGTACTTTGGTTTCAGCCTAAAATACCACGCTTTTTATTAATTATGTTAGTTCTGTTGTGTCCTTGGTTTTAGACAAGGCTTTAAGCTTCACAGTTTAGCTTCTGCAGGATGCTCCAATAGGGAATTCAAACGGTAATCTAATTTAAATCGAAGCATATTGCTAAGGATGTATAAACTATGTAGGTTGAGCCAACACCTTGTTTAAACATTTCAAATGAAAAGTTTTTAAATCAATCTCTGTCCTGAAGAATGGAAACCTAAAAAAATGGCTCTGGGCTTTAAGTATACGTTTTAAACAAATCATGACATTAGCTAATTTTTTGTAAAATGAGCCAACGCAAAGGATTTTCCGAAGAAGAGTAGTTAGTTTGACTGCGTTACATGTCGGGATTTGAGCTCCATCTTTCAAGGAATGCTCTCCCATTGCTCCTGTTTTAAGACCTGCGTTGACTAGATGGTTCTTTTTTGGGGGGGCTGAAAAACGGTCAGATTTATTGTATTGGAGAAGTCATGGAGAAGGAAAAAAAGGAGGAGGAGGAAATGGGCCGTAATCTTACACAGCTGAATGTTATATCATTTTTGCTGAAATCTGGTCACTTGTAAGATCTGACCACCACTGTTTGGATATACTTTAATATAGATAACCAATAGAAATGCATTCAATCTCTTGCTCCCTACAAGTAAGTCAATTGTTCAGACTCATTCGATTTCCAGATTCACAGATAAATGTGAAAACAAAGATTGTTTTAATCAAATCGGTTCGAAGTCTTGAGAACACAGCATCAAACACTTTGTTGGTTTATATGCATCACTGTCATATTTTTTCTCATCTCTATGGTATGTCTCTCATCCTGACAGGCACATAGTCATCTTCTGCAGTTGTTATGGATAATATCTCTTTGCTAATATCTCTTGGAAAAATATTTCTCCTTCTTGTGTCCGTTTGCTGCTCAGGCTGAAATCCTTAGTGTCCTCAGTCACCGCAACATCATCCAGTTTTATGGCGCTGTGGTCGAGGCTCCCAACTATGGAATCGTCACCGGTAAGTTCCCCTATGCAGTCAGCTCTAAACAGGAGGGCTACTGAATTACATCCTTGTAGAAAGTACAATAGCTGAGTCTGTAAGCCAGAGTTGAAAGGCTTTCTAAATACTGAACGGAACAAAGGTTTCTATGGGAGCATGAATGAATGCCAGAGGCTTCAGGATGTATACACATTTAAACTGTGGTCGTGTGCCCCTCTTTTTGTACGAGTGTGTGAGGAAAAAGAAACAACCAGTCGGGCCTCTGTAGTGGGGGCAGCTGTAGGTCTGCACTGTAGAAAACCAGGGACCGTTTTTGCATCAGCTCAAACTTTTATCGGGACGGCAGCTGTGATTCCACATGTTGCAGTACATTCACAGATATGTTTCTTTTACAAACATTTATTCCTTTATATGGTGCTATTTAGACTCTAACAAAACAGACAATGTTGCTGATTTGCACGCAATATCAGAGGCCTGGATGTCTGGTAAATGCCCCTGCCCTCGACTAGTCTCGTCCTCATTACATTTTGCCTCCTCGATTGACCTCTCAGGCAGTCCCACAGCGGTCCGGCCTGAGAGTAGATAGGAGTTACAGAGTCTGCTGTGTGTGCTCACTCTTCGTCAAGCGATGAGCATCAGAGCGTCTTTGGGTCAAGCTGCAAAATTGAGTTTCAGTTCATGGAGACGAGATGCAGCTGTCAGGAACTATAACATGTCTGGAAGGCAAGTGTTTTCCCAGCAGCCCCCGCATATTCTAACATCTTGTTTGTACTGTCACAAAGATCGCTCGCTGTTGAGGAAACATGCTGTGAATGAGAACTGTAGCAGCGAAACTCTCATCCCAAGCAGGGGCACTGATGGAGCCCAGGGTTCCCTCATGTCAGTTTCACTGCTGCTCAAAGTTGTGCATTTGTTCTGGAGTCTTTTATCCGGTGCTCACCTCCAGTGTGCACAGCTAGCATGCACACGACCCGGAAATAACTCTACAGCTTGAAACCTCAAACATGGATAGTGCCGGCAAATCAATAAAGAAAACACTCAAGTCAGCATTTATTTATTTTTATAAGTGAGATTATAAATAAGCCAAATCAGAACTGAAAGTTGCATCCAGAAGGAAATTCCTTTGAGAACAGCCAGAAAGAAAAAAAGAGAAGAATAAACTGTCTGAGCTATAAAGTTGTTATACCGCTCTATAACTTCTCTTCCTCTACAATTCAGTATTCACTGTATCTATATAGCTGCTCACCCACATAAATATGCTTCAATCAGCAGAATCTATAGTGACTAGATAAATCTGGAAAAAAAATGTCCAGTCACCATTTGAACTTTATCAGTGACCTTTGGTATTCTTGGAGTGACAGGAAATATTTCCCCACCTGGCTTTCTATTATCTCTCCATGCCTTATGAAACATTCCTTTTTTTAAACAATAGCAAAGAAAACAGGAATACGTGTGAGCAGTGGGAAATACTTGAATATGGTCTGCAGTTTTTGGAGCTGTGAGACAGAAAGTCTTGTTGCCAAGGAGCCGGCGGCCGTCTCTATTTATCGAGGCAGAATCTAATTAACACCGGAAAAAAAAAAGAAGTGTTTATGGTCATCCTGGTCACACCGTGTCCACACTCATCAGCTATGTTATGAATTTCCCCTATCTGTTGACACACAGCGTCAGCCCACACCGTTTCCGCTCTCCGCGCCCGACCCCACAGACCCGCCCGTCCCCGTGGATCTGCAGGAGTTTAGCAATATCTGCTGTCACTCCGCAGCCTCATAAACTTGATGGATTGTGGACAAATTGATCTTTTCAGGGTAAAGGTACGCTTTCCCTGTTTTACTAATTGAATAGCGTTCTTTTCTTTTCTTTTGTTTCTTGTTTAAAATCCAACACTGGACAAAAATGAAAGGCGCATTTTACAACACTGCAGGTGTGGTTTGCACGTCCTCGGGGGCAAAGTGCAGATCTTCAGATCATCCCGCCACCACCGTGACACAAGTCAAAAGACTCACATGAATTTGAAGTCTATAATGATAAAACCCCCTGCTGTGTTTTATGATTGTTAATTAGGCTCCTGTCTCGGAGCCCGTGCTTGTTTACGGTGCTGCGTAGGGATATGATGGGTTATTAGGCACAAACAGATTCTTCCTGCTGTTCGAGCCACTGCTTGTTTATTTTATTTAAGCTCTTCACAAAATACCCTTTGTCTGCACATTGGGAGAATGTTGCCTGTTCTACATTTCTTTGATTTACAGAATCTTCATCAAAGCTTTTTCTCAGTGTCCTGGACGGCTTTGTGGAGTCGATTTTGCTCACGGAAATGCGGGTTTTAAAGTTTGATTCACCCCTAATGGCTCATTAGAGAAGTGTGCGAGCGAAGCCTTTGAAAACTGAGCGTAAAGAGCATCGGTTTGTGTTGTCGAAACATGAGTGTGACAAAGTTACCTGAAAGGCACATTTGCTCTCATGCTGCAACACGCCAGAGGCACAAGCTAGGTGCAACCAGGACCTGTCAGCTGGATTCACAAGACAGGTTCAGTCAGATTTGAAATGATTTCTCGCTCTGCTAAACATGCTAAAGCCCTGAGAAGACACAGATGTCCTCGCTCTCTGCCCACACGTGTGCTGCTCTTTCATTGTCAGTGACGCCAAGCTGTGTTTTGTTTGCATCTTCAGAGTATGCCAGTGGCGGCTCCCTGTATGACTACCTGTCCAGCGACGAGAGTGAGGAGATGGACATGGGCCAGATCATGACCTGGGCGGCAGAGATTGCCAGGGGTAAATTTACAATTTAACCTGTTTAACCTGTTCCCTGTGTCCAATTCTTTTTGTCGCAAAATGTAGATGAAGACACATATTGACCCGGTGATATCACAGACTGATACACACTCTGCTGATGATTTAATAGCCATCAGTTGTGAGTCCTGTGTGGCATTATAGGTTGGCATGACGATAGTAGGTGCAACATTTCATCTCAGTCTGAGAATTCTCTGGGTCTTAGCCGTCTCAAACTGCTGCTATTTAGAGGAAAACTGCCTGCACTGCAAGACTTCCCAGCATGCGTCAGGGTTTTTCTGATGTGAAATGGAAACTGAACAAACAGGCGAGTGGAAGACTTCACTTTTTAATTGTCCCTCATTTTCTATAAAAAGGGAAGTTTGGCATTTACTCATTGTTTTGTGTCTTTTTGCACAAAAAATGTGTTTAGGGCTTCAGGGTTTGGATTAAATTTTGAGACAAAATACACATTTTACTCGTTATGACGAAAGAACAAGCCTGTAAAGGGAAACTCATGACAAAGCAGCAGATTAAGAAGGAAACTTTCTTTAGCACCGATCCTTCTGCAAAAAAAGCAATATTTTAATTTTATTTCAGTGAGGGCATCCATTTATTCTACATATATAAACTCCACATCTGACTTCACAGTGTAGCCATTCAGAACCAACAACGTTTTCTTTACCTTTGTCTGAAAACCTTCTCTCTTTGTCTGCTTTAGGGATGCATTATTTGCATTCAGAGGCCCCTGTGAAGGTGATCCACAGAGATTTAAAATCCAGGAATGGTTAGTAATTTATCTATCATAAGTTTATTATGTCCAAAATGAAGTGAAAAAAACTGAAGTCTTGCTGACTTTTAACACTGTTTTTTCTCTTTTCTCTTCAGTTGTTTTGACTGCAGATAAAATCCTTAAAGTAGGTGTGACTCTGTATCTTAACCAAAAATACATGAGAATTAAAGATAAGCCAGATGTGGGATATCAATATTATATCAATTCCCTTTGTGATGAATCACATTTGTTTTCATTTAGTGTATTTTGGTAGCTATTATGATCAAAACTGATCTCAAACTCTGGGTTTGCAATACTGGTGATGTGTTTTATCTGCAGTACATGCACAGAAGAAGTCAGTGACTTCATTGTATTTGTTGCATTTTCTAACCTCACTATGCGATCAAATTAAAAGTTTTTGATTGTCATGACTTAAATGATACATACCAAACCTTAAGTAAATTTGTGAATTACTAACTAAATGTTTTGACTTTACCGTTTGACCTAAACACAAAATGCTGGGTGCAACATTAATCTAATTCTTGTTTTCTTTACCTGAGATATGTGACTTTGGGGCGTCTAAGTTTCTGACACACACGACACACATGTCCTTGGTGGGCACGTTTCCCTGGATGGCACCCGAGGTGATACAGAGTCTCCCTGTGTCTGAGACGTGTGACACCTTCTCCTATGGAGTGGTGAGTGGAGGAACTAGAGTGTAGTGCCATAACTTTCCTCAGAATTTACTCACCTGTTCAGCAGAAACTTTTCTAAATATTAACACTTGGTTTGATAGTGCTGAACTAGACTATTATCAGTCTGGAATAGCTTTATTTCAGATTCATTATATTTTATGCCTTTTCGAATCTTAACATCCATCTGATCGTTTATAGTGAGTGGTTTGAGCTCCAAAATACCTCTAGTGTAAGTATCTCCATTTAAATACAACATGAGTTTCATCCATAGTCTTTGATTAGCATATGAGAAGGAAGAAACTCTCAAATTCTCATTATTAGCCTTCAGTGTCATTTATGTAACTCTTTTTAAATATCCTCTTCCTTGTTTGCTTTTATTCATGCGCCTACTTGTTTAAGAAGACTTCTTAGATGCAGTCACTCATTGCATAAGTTTATTAGGAGTTCAGATTTTTTAAAGTCTCATTAACGCTGTTTTTTGGTTTTATGGGGTATCAGTCAGGAAGTTTTCTGATGCCGCTATGTGTTTTTTTTTTTACCAGGGTTGACTCATACAGAGGGTGAAAATAGAGACTTTTTACTGAGAGAATACTTTCTTACTTTTCTTTCAAATAATGCCAACTTAGTAGATGGAAATGTACTTATTTTGGCACATTAGAGGTCACAGGAGTGATTGACAAGAACAGGGAAGTGAACAAATTAAGGTGAAGAATTCAAAAACAACTTTGAGTTTGAAGGAAAGAATTGATTGACAGGCTTTTTATTTCAGTTAAAAAAAAAATCCAACTTCTGGAAGAAAAATGCTTTCAAATATGCTGAATACATTTGCAAGAAATTGCACTTAAGTCCCTAATGGCTGCCAGCACAAGTCCTGCTGATATTTTCATTTTCTGTTTCCCTTTTTTCTTCTTTAAGTGGACAGAAACTTCCGTTTTAACCTTTCCAGAAGTAATACCCCTTAGAAACGGACTCCTACCTTTGTTGGCCTTGAACATTTCTGAGGACATTCAGGGGGAGTTTAAAAAGTCATCTTTTTTGTTCTTTTTTCGATGAACAAAATTTTCTAAATTGCATTTTTTAATTCTACAAATGTAAAATTCCTCACTATGTTGTTTGCCCTGTTAATGATAAAACAATTCCTGTTGTAAAATACATATTTCAGAAAGATTTCATTTTTGAAAGCTAATTTGAATCTCAATCCAAATTGAGCAGATTCTCTGTTTAGAGTTTTAAAGCTCACACAGTGAAATTGAAACATTACAGAACTTGAACGAAGACATTTATCTTGCTCTTCTCCATGAAATCAAAAATACTGGGAGGTCCAAAAATGTGTTTTATCCCTCAGCTGAGCTAAAGATGTACACATTAGCTGAAAAATGGCAGCCACTGTGTTGATGTTTGCTCTTCTGGGACAGGTGCTTTGGGAAATGCTCACCCGTGAGATACCTTTCCATGGCCTGGAAGGCTTGCAGGTGGCTTGGCTCGTAGTGGAGAAAAATGAGGTATTTAGCCCTTTAAAGCCCGATCCAAGAAAAAATTATGATTTTTCAATGTTTATTTATCTTTAAAGTAATTATTTGGCCCCTTAACAAAATATGAAAACTTTTTAAGGAAAATATTCATCAGTTATTACTGTACTGTATGAAATCAAAGTTGTAGTTTTCTGTCCGCTGTTATCGGGTGTATCTGATTGTGTACGACAGGGTTTTGAGCAAAGTTTTTACCATTAAATAATGGAAAAAGATGCAAAACATTTCAGAAATGGTGTGCATCAAATATAATACATATGGCATTATAAAGTTAACTGCAGATGGTCCTGATAAGTAAAATAATTATTTTTTGGGTAATTTTTGTTTGAAAGCATTTATAACTGCATTTATAAATATATACATTCTTTATATAAATTACATAATATCAACCCAAAATAGGGGATGAGGTTCACTTTTGCATTAAGAATTTATATACTCTGTTACTTTTGTTGTAGATTATGAAGGAGGAGCCTGAAAACAGTTAGGTTAGTTTAGCCTGTACAGTGGAGAACAGCAGGATAGGGTCATCCCAGCAGTTTCTGCAGGTGTGAACACTTTTTAAAAACTAACTAGCTGCTGGTTATAGCTTCGTGTTTAGTAGAAAACGTTTTCAATCCTGTAAACTAATGCAGAAAATATATGTTGTTTCCTTAATGTTGTGATATTGCTGTATTTCAGAGATTAACCATCCCCAGTGGTTGCCCGGCCAGCTTTGCAGAGCTCATGAAGAAGTGCTGGGCAACAGAGGCAAAAGTGAGTTACAGTCACGGCCTAATCAGCGGCGAACTTTACGTAAGTTTTTATGTCAGTCATATACAGCGCAAATGTTTTTATATTCATGCAGGAAAGGCCACTGTTCAAGCAGATCCTGAGCACTCTGGAGTCTATGTCTAAAGACAGCCAACTTCCTCAACAGTGTAACTCTTTTCTCCACAACAAGGCTGAATGGAGGTAATGTGATCAGCTATTTTTCACACACAGTAAATGTATTTATAACACTATTTTCTCACAAATATACTGCATCAGCCTAAGGAAATGTGCCACGGATTTGAATGAAAGATGTGGAAATGTAGCTGATGGGGGCCGCGATGCACAAAAAAGAACTTGAAATCGTGCATATAGATCCTTAATAATTACACTGATAGCTACATAAAGACATGAAAACTGCCAAAGAATGATCCATCTGGATATACTTCCTCTCTTTACCCATAAGACCCTAAAAATAATCACCATCTTTTTCAAGTAGAAGTGTTTAATTGGCCTGTATGAGCAGCTGGAGGTTTGGTGATGTTCAGCACAGCCTGAGTCTCAGCTGTCACTTTATTCTCTGTCTGCCGCTCTGCGGGCCTTGTCTTTGCTCTGAGGTTTTTCCTTTTTTTCTTCCTCACAAGTTGTAATGGTAGCATCATGTCCAGGCAGCCATCTGCACGTGGAGCAGGTTGGAGTGAATTTCAGGCCTGGAAAAGTGAAGATGGCTCTGAAAGCAGGAGCTTGCGGTTAATCACAGCAGGTGGCAGCTCTCAGAGACATGAGAGAGACGTGTTATGTTGATGCAAGTGGAGCTTTTTTTAAAGTTCTCTGAGGTACCTTTGTCAGTCTGAAAATGATCATTCGTCTCTGGGCTTTAAATTTCACGTTCTCTCTTTTTTTACTTTAGTTTTTGCATTATGCTCTGCTGGGAGAAACTGGCTCTTCAGCTTCTTCATAACATTAGTATCCAAGCTGAATGTTTTTCAGCACAGCTTTTAGGACTGCCAGGTTACCGTTAAATTTAAAGTTATGAGCTGTGACATACGTGACTTATTTGGAGCTAAAAGATTTGCTTGAAAGATTTTTTCATGTGTGGAGGAAGAAAACCCACAAAGTGAGTAATAAAAGAAGTCATTGTTTGCTAAGCTGAGCAGAAACTCATTGAAGCGAGAAGCTTTGGGTGTAGGGCCTGGAGAACCAGGAAAAGTAAGGCTTGGCCTTCCTGCCTGGGACACGTGTGTTCATGGAAAGAGGCTGAGAAGTTTTCCTGGAAGGGCCAGAGTGGATTTCCACAGAACACTGTGCAGCTCCACCTGCTGGACAAAACAGATCTCCTTACTAAACTAAAAGACACAGGACTGTCCACGAAGATTCACTGTTATTTAACACATTGCTAAGCTAGTAAAATGTAATATGTGGCAAAGAGAGCCAAAGCTGTTATAATAGCATGGTATGATATCTTTAGCTTTGTTAAATAAAACATAAAATCCTTTGGATTATCTGAAAGCAAAACAATCCTCTCCTACCAACAAATAATATATCAAGTGGCGCTTTGCTTCAGTCTTTTCAGCTACAGCATCGTTCACTCATGCTGATATAAACTTCACAAAAGCGAAAATGCTTTGTGTCAGATGGGCAAGAGTGGAAATTTCTATAAAATCCAACAAGGAGTGAAGGAAATGCCACAGAGGATATTTTGGATGTGGAAAAGCTCAGATTTCACCATGTGTAAACAATAATGGAAGGACATGGAATTTTTTTGGATTGTGTATTTTGGAAGTAGCTCTGCAGCAATAATTGTCCAAAGCTGGTGACCACCAGCTGGTGAAAGCCAGCAACAGTCAGAAAAAACATTTATTAATTATTAATATGTAGATGCATGTGTAATATGTGCCTTATTAATCAAACATAGTATCAACATTTAGATATGTAATATCCCAGGTTCCAGATTTAATGCAGTTGTTATGAGCAGCTAAATGGATTTTAAAGGGACTAAAAACATAGTTTACTCAACAATAACTCAACCCCAAGGCACATATTTGTGCTTTTAGAGGCCCTGTTCCAAAGTAGAAAATGGACAATCTGCATTGTACAATAGCAAGACCTTTGAGGCTGACAAATCTTTGGACCCCTAAGGGTCCAATTAGGTGTTTTCTTTTCTGAAAGCGTGTGTTTACTCCCTGGTTGTCTCATTTCAAATTCAAATAAGATTCCGTAGTGCTCCGCTAGTAAAAGACAAAGAAAGCCTGAAAATAAAAAGACGCGCTTGTAGGTTTGCATCTAACAGAATCAGGCTGCGCCAGCCTTGAATGTTGACGTTGCTGCTCCGCTGTGTGCCGAAGGTGTGAGATTGAAGCCACACTGGAGAGGCTGAAGAAGCTGGAGAGAGACCTGAGCACCAAAGAGCAGGAGCTGAAGGAGCGAGAGAGGCGTCTCAAAGTGTGGGAGCGCAAGCTCATAGAGCAGTCCAACAGCCCGGTGAGTCCACATCCTACCCCTCCTGACTTTGGTCCAGCTTCACCTCCAGGACAGACTCCCATCCCATCACACACAATGCCTCATTACAGCACTACATGTGATTATCTTTTATAGTAGAGTATTTTCCTTGATTGAAATATTTTAGAGGAAGTAGTAATAAGGCCTTCATCTCCTCCAGCCCATTTATCTGTCATTTCTCTCAAAACTGGGTAGAAGTTGAAGCAGTGAGATCTTTAGCTCTGCTCGTGAGACCTTTTTTCCTCCTCCCTATCCTTCACCAGCTACACTTTTCTGTATTCCCCTGTAGCGTCCTCTTTTTAAACGTTTCGATTGAGCTTCTGGTTGTCTGTTTGTCTCATCTACACTTTATTTCTGTGGTTTAAAACTGATCATTCACTTCCTTTTTTCTTTTCTGTCCTCTTTCTTTCCTTTCTTTTTACCCCCCCACCCCCACTCCGCTTGTCTCTGCCTTTCAGCTCCTCTCACCTACGGCAAAAAAGATAAGGGCTAAGTCGTTCTATCGTTCTAAGACGGAGGAATCAAACAGTTCACAGGTGTCGTGTCAGATCACAGCCTCTGCTAATAAGGGGGTGAATCTGCACTCTGTGATGAAAGGCTTTGAGGATGTCTTTTCTCTGGACCTCGGCCGGCCCGACCTGCACTCTGGCGTGCAGGCCGACATGCGGGCCGGGCAGAACTCTTTCAGGTCGAGGTGTGTCAGAGACGGACACAAAATCAACGTGGCTTGGGGGACGGGACACTTCTCTGGGCGCGCTGACATTGAATGAACACTTGGACGGTTTTGCGATGCCACAGCTGCATCTGAGATCTGTGATCCCAGTTAATGCATTATTGATGTGCAAGCTCCCCTGCTTGTTAAGTCGTGCTGTTATTGTTTTATTCTTTCATTAATTATCACTTTGTCACACCATAACACAGGCTGCCCTTTGCTATGCCAGTCGTGCGCGTACTGCTCGGGGACCTGGACACAAGTATTACATATATTTCAAGCCTTCCACCTGTGGACATTATGAATGTCATCTAGTGTAAGCCTAATGTTGGGGATGTATAGTGGCATGCTGTGAAGAGAGAGCCTTGTGAGCCAGTTGCTTAGAGAAGGCCAGGCTTTTATGATGAAGTGACATTTTGCTGACATTAAGATTGGCCAATTTGTTCTGGATGTGGTGGAGTGCAGTTGTTGAAACGCAGTCTCTTACCAGGATGAGAAAGTACACTTTTTTCCCCCTGTTTTTTTTGTTTTTTCTTTTTCTGACCTTAGTTCAAAACAGTAGGAAGGGACTTTGTTGAATGACTTGTCAGCTTTTTTATTTCATTCTTTGATCTACTTTTCCCCCCTACTTTTCAACAAAGGTTTCCTCCTAAAAATGTAAAAGAATACAGATTTGCTGCTGCAAAGATCCAGTTCTCCATACTTTGGTTTCAGTGCATATTAGCTTAAAGGTCTACATTTTACAGTAGAGACAATGGTATTTGCATTAATGTCCATCTATGTACTACCCTTTATCCGCAGGAAGGACATGCTTCCCTAAGCGAGACCCATTAAACTGCCCCCTTTGCTTGTTGTAATCAGCCATTCTCATGAGGATGTAATCCTCTGTATTCCTGTGTTGATGCTTGTTAGCTCTAATATTCCAGCTCAAACACCGTCTACACTCCTGTGTCATCCTGCCCCTGATAGATTAGACTCAACATAACAATCTCCCCAGATTCTCTCCTTTGATTGCATTAACCTGTGTAAATTCACTTGAGGCTTGCTGAGACAAACTTACCTCACAGAGTTTTCCCTGAAATAAAGCTACTGCTGGATGTGATTTCTGTCTCTGTGTTCTCCAGACTGTTGTCGATGAGTAAGCTTCTTTTAACTCCTTACAAATCGGCTGTTGCGCGATAGCTTCATGGTTGTGAAACATCACCACCATAAGAGAAAACAAAGTGTGACAGATAGCCTTGTACTGTTAGAGGCTTTTCCTCACACGGTGTGTTTGTTGAGCCTCTCTACACACCACTCAATAAGTCCCATTAGTCATGGCTCTGTTACCCATCATTCACTGAGTCCACATGGGGGCAGAATTGTGTGAACAAATCTCAACTCAAAGCCTTTATCTTTTGCAAATTCCACGCACAACAGCTCTGTCCTCCAATTTTATTTGTCAGATGAATGCCATCTATCTTTTTAAAAGAAGCACAGCTGCTCGTTTGTAAAACAAAATATGCTTCTTCTTTTCTTTTCTTTTTTTTTACTGGAAAACCCGATATGAAGTCTCTCCAGTGAGACTAAATCTGTTTACAGCTGAGCTGCTTTAGTGGAGCAGGCGGAAAGCCGCTGTAGGGGAGAGTCTCTTGATGAGGCGGCAGCCTGAGCTGAAACGCGTGGCAGCGACCGGAGCAGACGCTTCCTTCACGCTCTGAGCTGCTGCAGGATGCCAGTGAATGGAGATCACGCCTTGATTTAGCCTTCTTTTCTACAACTTTGCTGCGCATTCTTCCTGTCATCACGCACCAGCCTCATGATTGTGATAATATCTTTGTTTTGGCTGGAAGTTTCTGCTTAATTACGCCTAATGAGTGATCAGTTATTCATATAATTATTTTCCCTTCAACAGACACGCATCAGTCATTTTGGTTTGACATTGAGCAAGTTTGTAAAGCACAGTAGCTGTAAGATTGTTTTTGAAAATCAAAAATTGGGGCCATTTTTCCATTTTGGTATCATTAATCATCATGTCTGATGACCATATCTGCTGGCCCCCTGTTGCTGTTACGTTTCTGGTTTCTCTGCAGCTGCTGCCCACCCTTGACATATATACATGGACAGAGGAGCATGTGGTCAGTGTCAACGTTTTTCAATATAATTCACATTCAAAGTGGAAGCATTTCTGCCCAATCTAATGTCCTCCTGTTTTATCACTTCAGTATTTCTGGATGCAGCAGGTGTTTGGAACAGGTCCGACCTTTCTGAGTCATTCTAACATTTTTCCACCTCAAACACTTCTGGACTTTTTAGTAACCATATTTTGTTTTTGTGCCAGGACATGGTACCTATGACATGGAGCTTTATGCTGACCTCTTCAAAGAAAACCACATCACTGGAAAGCGGTTACTGCTGCTCAAGGAGGACGACATGCGGGACATGGGGGTCAAGTCCAAAGGCCACGTCATGCACCTTAAGGCAAGGCAGCTGTTTGTTAGGTCTTTGTTTTGTTTTTGTGTTTCTTACTCTTACAGGATGTCAAAGCTGACTGTTTAATGGGATTACTTTGAATTCAATGAGAATTTTCTAATTTGCAGGCTGAAATCGAAAAGCTCGCCAATGAATACCTTGGCTTTGTCCACTTCCCACCACTGCTGAAGGTACGGCACTCATTCTTCATCCTTGAGAAGTGTTGTTTCTTTTGTCACATATTTGATTTTTCCTTTTTCTTGCCAAAAGGATGAGCTGGAAAAGGAGGTGGAGCAGAGCAAAACTGTTCATTTGGAGCTGGTGTTTGGATTTCACTGGAAACCAGGAACAGGAAAGTCTGTAAGTTTGGAAAGACCCCCTCTTACTCTGACTCCCAACATATCCTGCAGCTGGGAGTGTCTCTGGATCTATGAAACCAACAATTAACAAACATCACAAAGAAATCCTGTGTCTGCTTTAAACATGTTGGTCATAATGGATGCTTTCTCAGTCTGCTGCGACTGAAGCCGTCTGCTCTGAGGACTCCTGATGGCGGCCGTCACACTGGCTATTGAAGGCTTCACTAGACATGTATTAGACCAGACAAATAAACATTTCATTCTCAGCCTTGTACCAGATCCACCTCGATTTGCTCCCAGCCCTTTGTTACGGTCTCAAACTGTGGAGAAAGGGTGGCTCTTCACTTGCTGTTTGAATTTAATCAAAAATAGCCCATTTAGCCAGAAGTCATTTTCTTTTAAAAGGCAAACGTTATTTAATCTTTCAGCTGTTCATTGTCCCATCATAAATAGTCCTCTTTCAGTGTGTTCGGCAGGGCTGAAACGAGCCTGCTAATTGCCTCCCATTTCTTCTGACATGTGGTGGTTTAGTGGGTAGAAAACACAGCAGGGAGAAGGAAACAGGAGGCTGAGAAAATGAGAGCTAATTATTTTCCCCTGCCTGGTGTCAGGTTCCGTGTCAGCCTTGTTTTTACAAACTGGAAGGTTTTTTGCACTAAATAAAACAAACCCGCACCGCTTTTTTTTCCTTTGCCTCCTTTGCTGGCGATGTCATGGAAGCAGCTGCACTTCTCAAAGACAAAATGAGGGCCTGCGATTGTGCGGCCACCATCTGACAGCCACTGAGGGTCCCCTACTAATGAGGATATCACCGTGCAGCCAAGTGAAAGGTGCTGAATTATGTATGAGTTGTCATTAGACGCACTCGGGTCCTAGGCATCATTACCAGACATTGTTTCTGCTGGAGTGATTAGACTAGCATGGACCTGGGAGCCCCGGCGCGGCCGTCCAGGGCCGACACCAGGCCAGCACAGGGATGCTGGCGTGTCTCTGAGCCAGGAGCTCGCCGAAGCCCCCGCTTTGAGCCGCTTCCAGCCCCTGGGGACGATGAAGGAGAGGTCGAAGGCTCCACAGATGAGTGTGTTAGCGCCACTCCTCTGATGTCTCTCTCTGTGATCCCTACACAATGGATTGGCCTGTGCCATGAACCCAGCGTGGCTAAGTAGTGACCTGTGGCTTCATAGGCAGCTCTTAGCGATTGGAGGAATCATTACTGCGTCGTCAGCATGCAGAAGAAAAGGGCTGGGGAATCACTCAGATTTGGGCCTCCCAGTAAGAAGCCTGCTGTCATGAGAATGAAAGGACCTCAGCCTTTTCACATTAAACTGAGAAAACCCCCCCAAAAAAAGACAATTATTTCACTGATTATGCATTTGTTTTTTTTCCATTAAACAAAATGTATGTGTTATTGTTTTTAACTTGGAGAGCTAATTTATATGAGGATTTGTTTGTTCTGATAACGCTTTTTACATATTATACCTGTTTGTTTTTTTTTAAACTCGATGTGTTTGTCCCATTAGGAAGTTTTTATTGTTTATTTCTCTTTTATGTCTGTTTTTAAAAGGTTTTTTGGGCAGGAAAGTGCCACTGCCAATGAACTGCCTGTAGGTTGTGCTGTTGGTTTATGTTCAAGACAATGACATTTCACCTTTACAGATTGGGTGCAACTTTTTCACACATGTCCGTTGGTTGTGAGAGCAATACACCTGCATTATCTGACCAATACCTGCTTCTTTGCCCCAGGACTGCAAATGGAAAATGTACGTGGAACTGGATGGAGACGATGTGGCCGTTACTTACATCAAAGATGTCATCTTTAATGCCAACCGACAGGACGTAGAAGTCCTGCGAATGACTAAGGTATCGTGCAACTCAGTTTTTAAATGTCGGAATGTTTTCAGATCTTAATGTTTTAATATACCTAAAAATTGTACAAGAGTAGTTTTTTATGGTCTGATGTTACTTCATGGCAGCCTCCTTTTGTGATGGATAAATGGATCGTTGGAATCCAACAGAATCAGAGAGTTGACTACCTTGTCAACTATGAGGTGAGTCGTCCCATGAGGAGCGGGGGGGTCGCAAGACTAAATTTGCCCATTGTCCACAAAGGGCAACCATAGAAATGTGGCTAGATTATAAACTTTAACTCTAAATATCACTAACCTTTCTGTCCGCTTTACCTGACACTTCAGAAGGACGTCAAGTCACCAAAGTCTACGAAGCACAGCTGCCAGATGCAGTGGAGTTCCAGCGGTGGACAAGACGAGATCAGAACTGTGGAGCTGGTCATTGAAACAGCAGAGGCCGACATAGACTGGAAACCCAGACAGAGACCTCACACAGGTGGGTGTTTTTAAATTAGTACTTTTTTAGTTTGCTTGAATACTAAAGATCACTGATTGGATAAAAGATTAAAATGAAAATCCTCTATTTTAGATATTGATCCCAAATGGATGCACAATGTAAGGCAGAGGCAGATGATGACCCAGAAATCGGAGCAGAAGGCCGCTCCTCTGACCAGCTCTGATGCCCGCACCCTGCCTCAGTTCCTGTCCGCACATGAAAGCCAAGGGTTTTCTTACGCTGCAGCTGTGCGGCGATCTCCAAACCGCCTCCAAGTATCTCCCTGGAACGACTCTCGCAGCTCCTCGCCAACTGCCAGTCTGTCAGCCAGACTCTTGCCACTCAATCTGGGGTCGAAGGGAAGCAGTCCCTCCAGCACCACGTCAGAGAGCACCTTGGAACGAGAGCGCCCACGCAGCGCCGCAGAGGCCGGTGACCACCGCAGAGGCAGCTACTTTGGCAACATGTCAGCGGCGGGAAGCGGGCAGAGTAGGGAGCAGGCACGGACCAATAACAGAGGAGCACATGTGTATAACAAAGCCTACAAAACATCACGGCAGCCTGCGAGGCCAAGATCCAACAGCTACAGTGTCACAGTACAGAGCCGCCCATCTATGATACCAGGCATCCTGTCGGTGACAGGAAACCCCAGTGATGAAAAAGAGGGGGGCAAAGCCAGTGAGGGAGGGTGGATCAAAGTGGAGCGTCAGAAAAGAGTACCGCGTCCGGACAACAAACAAGCAAGAGGTCGGCCCAGAAGAGGAGGCAGGGGAGGGCGTGGTGCTGGTGGAAGAACTTGATGTTGGCCAAGGTAGCAGGATGGCAGTTTCTTCTAGAGTAAAGGTGCACTGAAAGGCTTTTTACATCTGCAATATATCCACTGACCGGCCCCAAAGTTACCTGCATGTTGTAGGAGAATCAAAATCATGTTTGTACAGTATATTTTCTTAAGAAACTGAGGTGCCTGTTCTTTCTGTTAAATCAGGCTCACTTTTAGATTAATACAAATTTGTAAATTTATTCCAAATGTATTTATTATTATTATTACCATGAAAACAAACACTAATTTTATCTTGTGTGTTGCTGCGGTCTGATTTCTCACTGCCAGAACCAAGATGAAATAAAAAAACACATGCCTGTATTTTCTGGTTTGTCTTTTTCTTTCCTCTTTTGGAAACAGATGGTGCCTAAGTGAATCAGGTTAAATGCAAAACACAACATTGTAAAGTGTCTCACTCCCTCTTTTAAAAATCACCCCCAAATAAAGTCTGACTCTTATCTATAGACAAAGCTTCAACCTTTATCCTGGTTTCCTGTTCTGTCCTGACGTGAAATACCTTACAGGCAGGCGGAAGTTGGAACGAAGTCAACATTTTACCCGCCTTGTATGCAAAGTGACCAATGAAATGTTCGCGCCACGCGACAGTTCATAGAAGAGACACGGCAAACGTGTCCAATAAACTCATTTATCTCAAACAATTTACCGGTTAGAATAACGAATGGGAACATTGCATATTTAGAATATTATTCAGCTATCAGTTTGGCCTAATGGATAGGCACAAAATGCCCCGGAGTCGTTAAACCGCCGGACTTGTTTCTGTGGCGCTTTCAGGACCCGCCAGCGGCGCGGGAAACGAACGCGTCGGGCTGCCTGCAGCTGCAGCTCATGCTTTGTTCGCTGCACAGCGGCTGCGCGGAGAGTCCCAAAGTCCCGGTTTAGCTGCAGGTCTGAACAGCCAAAGTATGCCTCTAACCCGCTCCAAGGTAAGTTAAGCTTCTTTTTTTTTTAAATATCGTGTTTTAGATATAGTTTGCTTTTACGATCTGTTAAAAAAACCCAACATGTTTTGAAGTTGAACTGTTGCGTCGACCCTAAACCGCTAACATTTTGGTTAGGACCGTGAATCTCACATGTAAAGGTTTGTCTGTAGTTTTAAAACATGAAAATACGTGAACACGAAAGACTAGTTTCTCCTTTACCGGTCACATACGGAAAAGTTAAAGTGTAAACCTTTCCTTCATGCAGTAAACTACATTTTCTTTGGCGTGAACTTTGTGCACAGAGGTGTGTCCCGTAAACTGCAGCTGAATGGGGGGTTGTGGTGGACTCGTAGATTTATGTAGTATGTGTTTTTAAATTGAAATGATTGGATAATAAACTTTAAACCTTAATATCTGTGAGTTTTTAAGCATCCCAGAAAACTAGTCGTTAAACTTCTGGATTTGGAATTTTAACTTGTTTTGACACATTCAAATCATAATGAATTTGATACCGTTCATGTATAATACCCCAAAGTATCCATTATTGATTCTCTTATAGTCTGTGCTTCTCATATAGCAAATATCCCAATATGGATGTTTTGATCATGTGAATGTAATCTTCTGGCGTGTAGAAACTTGCTGCTCAGCCAGCATCCACCAGGATGAGTTTGAGGAGCTTCCGCAGGGTCCCCCTGGTTCCCATGGAGACCTCATCCTCCTCTTCTGATGACAGCTGCGACAGCTTTGGCTCTGACGGGGGATTTGCCCAGACGGTAACAATAAAATGCCAGTGTAGCCATCCCTGATGTCCTGCTAAATGGTTTTGACCTCTGAAGCTAATGCCTGCGTCTGCTTCAGAGGAGCAGCTTAAGACAGACCAGGAGGGCCGCAGAGAAACCGAAGGCGCCCCAGGCCACATCAGAAGAGGACTCGTGCACCGGGTTTGATGAACATGCCATCAGCCGTCAGATTAAAGCTATGGTAGGAAATGCAGTTCCAACTTTCTGTAGTGCTGTGTAATAAAACACTTGTTGCCTTTAACCACAAATTGTTGACTCTTCTAGAAAGTAGACACCGAGCCTCCAAGACGTGGCCGCAGGTCAAATGTCCTGAAGGTTGCCATGACGTTTCCCACCAAGAAGGACAGGAAGAGACCAGCATCGGAGCCGCTGCCTCAGCCCAAAAGGCTGAACTCCGACTCTGAGGAGGAGCAGGAGGTGAACTTCATGGATAAGAGAGCCATGAACATCAGGGAGAACAAAGAGATGGTATGTTTGGTATCTTTGATGTTTTAACGCTGTACGAGCCTGGAACCATGTGCCTCTTCATCACGCTGTGTCGCCTTGTTTCCCTTTAGCTTGCGAAGCTGATGGCCGAGCTGAACAAAGTCAACGGGCTCCTCCCAGGACGGCGCATGGCGATGTCTGCGTCGACTACGGTATTCTAACCGGGCCGGACCAGTGACCGTCTCACTTATTGAACACACAGAGCCTTTTCCTGTGTTAATCAGACCTAATGTCCCCCTCAGCCCCGACAGGCGCCCCGCCGGGCCCCGAGAACCCCGGGAGCTTTCAGGAGGAACCCTGAGCGGCAGTCCCGCCCCCACACGCGCTCCCGCTCGCTGGTGGACGGCCCCCCCACCCCGCCTTCCGAGGAAGAGTCTGACGACAAGTTCAGCCTGGTCCGCAAGAGTCCCTACTACGAGGAAGTCGACGAAGCCGTAAGCCCAGATTTCTGCCCGACTTAATGGAAACCGTGGAAACGTGGGGCGGCTTCGGTAGTGACGGCTCTTTTCCCCCGCAGCCGCGCCGCCGCGTATTCAGCGGCGCCAAGGCCATCGAGCACGTGGTGCGGCCGGTGGAGGAGGTCACCGAGGCGGAGCTGCGGAACATCTGCAACAACGTGCGGGAGAAGGTCTACAACAGCGTGACGGTAGGTTCCACATCTGGAGCGGGGGGGTCGCGGCGGGGCTCGGGGCTCGGGGCTCAGCGGCGGCCTCCTTAAACACGAGCCGCCCACAGGGGAGCACCTGCCACCAGTGCCGCCAGAAGACCACCGACACCAAAACCAACTGCCGGAACCCGGACTGCGTGGGCGTGCGGGGCCAGTTCTGCGGCCCCTGTCTACGCAACCGCTACGGAGAAGAAGTCCAGGACGCCCTTCTGAATCCGGTAAGGGTCCTAAAATAATGTTTTATATTATTTTTTTAAATGGCGTTTTGGGTGCTGGGCGGGGCTGACTTCTCGGTCCCCGCAGGACTGGCGGTGCCCGCCGTGCAGGGGCATCTGCAACTGCAGCTTCTGCCGCGCCCGGGAGGGCCGCTGCGCCACGGGGGTGCTGGTGTACCTGGCCAAGTTCCACGGCTACGACAACGTGCACGCTTACCTGAAGAGGTGAGAGCGCCGCGGCGGTGCGGGACGCGCTCAGCAGCTCTGGTTCACCGTAAGGGTTTTTATTCACGCAGCTCGTCTCTCTATCTGCAGCCTGAAAAAGGAGCTGGAGGAGGAGAGCAGCCGGGGGGGCCACGAGTAAGCAGCTGGACCGGAGCACAGCCCCGCCGTTTGTCAGTCTCCGTTCCTGTATTAGGGGTTTTATTTTGACCGCGGACTGACGTCACCGACGGGCACGCGGCCAGTTTTCTACTGTATGTGTGTGTGTTCATCCTTCAAACACACTAGAAGAGCTTAAAGATCGCATCAAGACAGATTGGAGCAAAATGGTTATAGTAGATCTTCTACAATCTGGTGTTTCATCCTGAGGTTGTTTATATCCTGTGCTTTTTAAAAGTTTTTTTGTTTCTCGCTGCAAAAAAAAGAAAGAAAAAGAATGCTTTGTTAGATCATCTGTAATATACATTGTTTTAAATGTATTGATTTCTTTTCCTAAATTGCCCTCTTGGAAAATGAATCGGCCATGAGGGCGGAGTCCATTTGTGCCTTTTTGCTAGTTGCAAATTAATGCTTGTGTTTTTACAAGTTTTGTTCAAATAAAAAACTAGTTTACCTGTTCTGCACAGTAGAAATAGCCCAGTGATCTGCCTGCCACGAGGGGGGAGGGGATGCAGGTGGAAAGGGCATAGACCGAGGTCCACTGCCTCCCTCTTCTAAACCGAGAGGAGCCGTGATATACTACAGCGCCTGGTTAAATATCCTTCATTAGATAACTGTCACTAATGGTGTGGAAACAATTAGCAGACTCTAATGGGAATCTCATACCTGTAAATCATTTTATCCTGTTCAAGCACATTCTCGCTCTGCTCCAGTCTCTTTGGCTCATTTTCCACCTAACACTGTTAAGTAGGAATGGTTGAAGGTGCCGCTGGAGTGGCAGCAGAGTTATGGCCTGCATTTTCTGTTCACAAGTGTTATCCTCTATATGAAATGACATGAAATTGACCTCTTTTTCTGTTCGACTTTGCAATGTTCTTCATTTGACCCGTGGAACAAAATGCGTGATCTTACAGAACTGTTTTGAAGCGTAATCAGTTGCAGTTGGAGGTTATCACCCTGCTCATCGTGTTTACTCAGTTTTGTTAAAGGAACCTTTTTTCCCCCCTCCCTCATAGCTGTAGGTTTTCATTAAAGCGTTAATCACTGCAGAATCATGTCAGCGTTGTTCTTTGATTCAACCATCGCCCTCTCCAGAACAGTGGCAGCTGTAATTACTGTTATTTAAACATGGAGGACAAATCCTGGCTGACGGCGTTGGAGAAGATGTGAACGCCGAACATTTCTCTCTTCCCGTTAATGCTGGTAGGGTAGAGCCACTTTAAGGTTATGCTCACATTCCTTCAGAAGGTGAAGCTTAACAAAGCCGACATCATCCTACAGGGCTGTCACAGCCGCTGCACAGTGAGGACGTTTAGGTTGTCAGTCAGCGGCCTGCACAAGCTCGAATGGGTCAGATAATCACCATTTACAGCTGCAATAATGCAGCAACACAAATCAAAATATACATGTAACAGAGCCACTTAAGATTATGCCCTCTGAAATCTTAAATTAAACCTTTGTGTTTGTCACAATCATTGAAAAGACTGAGCTGCAAAACAGCCCCAATTTGTAAAAGAAAAGACCAAGATGTGTAAAATATAAATAAAATGGAACACTGTTTTAGCCAAAATGACAAACAGATATTTTACTGCTGAAGTAACTGTAAATCTAAAGGGCCGCAGCAGTTAGTGTACCAACTGTGTAACTGTGTGTTATGTATATCTTGTGAAGCCATGCTGTTGTTATAGATTAAGGATGTGGTTAAGGACTGTCTTGCTGAAATCTGTTTGTACTTCACCATAAAACAAACTAGATGCCCAGCATGTTAATCTGTAACTTTTGGCATCAGTGCTGCAATTCCAGATGTTTAATTTGCCCTAGTGTGCTGCCAGTCCATCGAAGGTCCGCTAATCTTTTGAATTTATCACTGATAAAGAAAAAAAAGAAAGGAATATCATATCTGTCCTTTACATCTGAGAGTGTCTGCCTCTAAAAGTTGCTTTTTTATGTCCACTCTCATGACTTGGTGCAACGTGCTCCTCCAGGTGTTTTCACAGCAACAGCTGGTGCTAAATTTGAGGTAATGAACAGATTTAAACAAAAATGAGACGGTAATATTTTTACATTGTCAGCTTTTAACATATTTTCTATGTTCAATTAACAATAAATGTTTGGTATGTAACATGTTCAAAGCTTTAAGTAACAGGTGTAAAATTTTCACGAAATAAATATTTGTGTGATATTAAAAGCATACATTACAAATGTCATTTTTAGAGCAAAGGTCCAGGATGGTGCTTAGATGTTACTGCAGTCCAGTGGGAGCTGTCAGGAGAGCTGGCTAAAGCTGACATTACCTGGAAAACGAGACAGACTAAACCCAACCCATCTCGCTAAAAAGGTCCATTACAGAGGTGGACACAGCATGTTTGAAAGCATTGTAACACATTAACGTTCCTCCTTTCTCGTCTCAGGTCTGTTGAACGTCTGTTGACACTGAAAATGTGCGCTGCGTCGAGGTCAAAGGGGTTTTCAGTCTCACAGGGCAACCTTGAGCCTTTCAACGCTATGTTTACTGCTTACATCATGGCCCATATGTATGTTATTATTATCATTACAGCCCACATCCCCGCTGCTCTGCATCCTGCTGCTTGGTGAGAAGAAATGAAAGCTGCAGAGAGCTGTAGATATCTGACATTAGCCACAACTGCACAGTACAAGCAGAGCACTGAAAATCGGATGTGATGATGTGAATGTAACATATACAGTTTTTGCTATCTTGGATAATCTAAACTAATGCACAGAACAGGTGCACATCATCCAAGCCTGAGAGTTAGAGAACATAAATTATCACAAATAGTCATAATGAGCTATGGTCATAAACAGCATCACACACGTCAGCATATCGAGTGTAAACTGTTGCTGGCAGCTACAGGTAGTTTTACAGGGGATAATCTCGATGTACAGAGATCTGCCTCTGGATATATGGAGGTTGTGTTAACACCACCTGTTAGGCTAGTACAGTACGCAAAAAATGCATTTCTTGTGTTTCATCCAGGCCATCTTTATATACAAAACATAGTTGAGCCAAAAGTGTGGTACAATGTAATTAAATGGTTGTTTCGCGTCTCATCTTCTTCTTTAAGTCAGTTGCTCATTGCATGTCTCATTCAGTCCATGAACATCTAATCTTGTCTTTAGTTTTATTTTGGTCATTTTGATTTTATACTTCTATTGTCTTGTTTATGTCATTTTGTGCAACATAGTACAGTGGAAGATATGAAATACAATAATTACATGTTTAGAAAATTCAGAGTCCCTTCTAAGTCAATATTGCCCAACTATTAGTCACTTTTCTATTTTTCCAACAGGTCATTCAAGTTTGGTATTAAATAGATGGTAAGTGTTGAATATTCATAATAAAATGAATACATGGTAACATATTTACACACATTTTCTTCTTAAGCTATTCTCTTTTAAGTCTCCTTTTCATTGCATTGACGTAAGGAGATACCATGGTTAAGTAAAGAAGTAAATGGCTAACCCAAGTTGGTATAAATGATGCATAAAACCCATGAAAACTCTAAATGAAATGGCTCAAAATGGAAGACTGGGAAGAGGGGGGTTGGATGGATTTCGTTATATTAATCTCCAATTAACACATCTTTATTGAGCTACCATTCCAACTGAGTAATTAATTTGAAATCAATTTCAAATGACTATTTTTTCTATAGTGCCAAATTACAGCAGGTATCCTCTCAGGTTATCTCATAAGCTCAGCTCAATTCAATTGAGTTACCATGCAATTCACTGTGTCATAATCTAATCAAATTCAACGAGTGAAATTCCAGATGAATCTGATTCATATGCAGGTATTTATTATTTCTAAAGCTATAAAGCTCGAGTCATGTGCTATTTCATCAGCATAGTATGCAAATGTATTACTTTAATTTCCGATAATGTTACTAAGTAGAGGAATGTATGAAATGAGAAGGACTGGTCCAAACACAGAACACTGAAACTCCATGTCTTACTCTGCTGATAGAAGATGAGTCTTTATTTACACACACAAGAACTAGAATCACCAAGATACATATGACTTAAACAAGCTTAATAGAGTTAATTTGATCCCAAATACACATTCAAGCCTCTGTAATCGATCAATGTGGCACTGAGATCCAACAGAACCACCACAAAGCAGATGCTTTTGGCTGTAAGTCGTCATGAGCGTGCAGGCGTGTTTTAACACGATGCTGAGGAGGAAATACAGCTACATTCATGAAGGCAACGGAAATGATGCTGCTCATGAATCTGGTTTAATCAAACAAAATGAATTAAACGTATTAAGTTAGATAGATGCTGCTAAACCTAAATCGTGTCTAAGATACGTGACTGGTACAAAGGCACAGTATATATAAAATAACTCATAATACCACCAATACTTGTATTGCTATGTAATTTCCAATCAATTCAGACTAGTATTATTGAATAAACAACAAAGTTGCCCTTCTAAGCCATATAGATGAACATGAAACTTAAATGATACATCTTCTCCTTTTCCCTCAAAAAAGGAGCATTCATAGAAACTATTATTAGTAAAATAAAGATGCACTTGAAAATACTAGTCCTGTATTAAATACCAATGATCATCCACTTTGGGGTGATGAATATTTAGGGAAGTAATTGTTTACAACACTCAAGCATTGAGCTGATCTGGTAATCAGGCTATGAAATACAATATTTATTCATTAGAGCAGATTTAATGAGGCCTTGCGGCGCTAATTATGAAAACCAGTGTAGCAGTAAATGAGTAGCGCACGGTGGTGGGCTGCGGGGTACCTGTAAGGAGGAACTGGGGGTTGAAGTGCCCTAAGTGCCATGGCACAGTGAGCACCAACATGCAGCCATGACTGCAGCCATCCAGCCCTCAGCTGTACATCACCGGACCTGCAGACAGCTCGCAGATGGGCCCCTCGTCCCCGAATGCCCTGCCCTCCCACCTCCAGGAATGACGACTGGGTTTCTCAAACGCATCCTAATGTCCAAATAATCCGCTTTATAGCTCGTCAACACACAGCGCAATAGAAATTCTCTGCAGCAAGGCTTTAAAGTATCATTTCATTGATGTATGGGCAGCCATAAAGCTGAAACAGGCTGAGCGGTTGTTCTATTTGTATGCTGGTCTGGATGTATGTGGTAGGATTTCACAGCATAATATGGGTTTTGATTGACTGATATTTTCATTATGGCTGCAGGGTAGCGTGAAGACTGTTAATTTGCTTGAGAGTCCTGCAGATCTACGGTGATTGTAGTAGAGCCAGAAGAAAAGCTGAATAAATGAAACTCACAGGGCACAATCACAATCTGTGGGTCAAAATCAACTGATTAATTATAATTTAGAATCAATCTGTCAGGCCTCTGTAATAAACACCCTTTCAGGCTTGCTGCTTAATAACCAGCTTTACATGCTGCAACACTGTTCACCAGGGTATACCATGTAGGGCTACATTGTTCCTGTGAATACATCATGATGCTTGGATAAATATTTCCTATGGTAAAATGAGACAAAGCATTGGTTAGATGGAAAGGCCGGCCTCATGGACAACTCCTCTTTTTGATACTGGCCAGTGAGAACACTTTTCCCAATAAGAATCCCACACTGGTTCTGACCTTGACATCCCGTAAAGTATAGTGAGGAGAGTGCTGTTAAATGCATAGTGGGTGACTCTGGATGGCAGGAGGCTTATGACATATTCCCTTCCTCCTGTTCCAGCCTAGAAAGTGATGGAAACAGCAGTTTGGTCCAGGTGTCAGGGACATTATCAAAGAAAAGGGCTGCCTGCGGTTGCTCCATCTCACAGGAAATTGCCAACTCACCCTAACAAAGGAAGGCATAAGTGCACTTGCTGCTGCCTTCAAGGGGAGCGTGATAAGATGACATTATAAATACGGAATTGTTCAGGGAGGTGGAGGGGTAGGCACATCCAGCGGCTGAACTTGGCAATTCAGTTCTTCGTGTACATGTCCAAAAGCCTCAGTGGGTTTATCTAAAGCTACGACTGCCTTTTTCTAGTACAGACTCACACATTTTCTAAATACACCAAACTATAACTATGAACTATAATCGTTCTAAAGCGGTGCATGGCAAAGTTTAAAACTTTTTATCCTGGATAGCTGATAACCTGGAAAGAGACAAACACAGACATACCTCAAATATAGTGAACTAACACTGCATAATATGTCCATAGAAGTCTCCAGGCACAAAAAAAGAAGACAAAAAGGATTCATTTTGAGGGTGCCACTGCACAGCTCCACAAACGATCAGATAATTATAGGTATTTTAATTTCATGTAAATTACTTGCAGTTTTTTTCTTTCAAGTTTCAATGAGTTTGATTACTGTCAAAAAGCCTGAAAGTTCTGAAAAGTTCTAAAAATACGAAATTTTGACCAGACAACACTTTTGTCAAAATATGTAGCTTAAATTTCC